TCCGTATGAACATTTAGGTGTTAAGGGATTTAAAAAATTGCCCCACTCCAACAAATGTTTTCACACCAATTTACAATGACAGAACACTATTATTAAGCGATTTTTGTCGAGTAATTCTGGAAGTTATATAATTTTTTACGTTTAGCTCAAGAAGTCATTATACTTCTGCGTTTCTTTCTTAAGCTAAGCAATATGACTTTAAGGATTTCATCAAGAGATGAACTTGCGACGAATAAGTAAAACGAATTAATTCGGTTGCGCTTCAAGGAAGGCTATGGAAACGTAAATTAGGTAACTATTCTTCTATCCCACCGATCAATACTATTTCTTAGTTAACTCTTTCAAAACAAGCACAGATCAATCACTACACATTTTGCAAGAAAAAAAACCATTCATTCGATGAAAATGAAAATAAGGTTCAGTTGGTTCAGTCGGTTTGCAGTTCTTCGTTTTAAAGCAAATATTCTTCCATAAATGCACCTCACCTTCTTATCATTTCATTTCACAGAATGGTGATTTATGTTATTTGAAAAGAGATATATACAGAATTTAATCTTTACAACACTGTCTACTTACCCTGATTGGGTTGACACATATGGTTTGCTTCAAATTTGTTTTGAAATAAAATGTAAAATTTTTTAAATGTTTTTGTTGTAATGCTGTACATGTCAAATTTTCTTCGTTTTCTTTTTTGTCTTGCACAATCTCTTTTACTCGACAATTTGAAAAGTATTCTATCAATATTGAATAAGAACTTAATGACAAAACAAATGCGAACAGTCTTGCGTGAACGCATGGAGAAAAAAGAAGAACGAATTAAACTGGGAATTTATAAACTATGGCACGAATTTAATGTAAGTCTTGCTCAAATGCAATGGAAGTCACTTATGAATAGCATGATGAAAATGATTATCATAAAATTTTGGCATAAAATTTTCCAATATTTTATTTATATAAAAGCTTGTTATATGGTGGCTAATTTGAAGTTATAAACAAAAAGTTTGCATTGATTTGAGCCGGTATTGTGTGCATAAACGATTAAACAAAGTTATATTTGCTTGAGAACGAAACTTAGACGCCCTCCACTTAATTAAAACGAATACAAGAATTTTTTTTAGTTTCTCTTGATAAGTGATTTGCGAATTCTTACAATGTCCTGATTAACCGTTTATTAATTTTGTTATAATATTTCGTTAATAACTTATTGCCTGTTGACAACAGTGAAACGCGTCACATAATAAGCTCCCATTGGAGTTTTACCAACAGTTTTAGGTTAAGTATTCCGTCGATACAATACATAAGCCAAATAAAATAAATTTGTAGCTTATGTGTTCTCAATACAATACATGTTTATCTATTTTAGCAAATCTAATTACTCTCTCAACTGTTTATCAGTGATGGCTCTCTTTGTTTCATCAGAAGGAACTTTTCAAGGTCTTTATATTTGTGTGGTAACAATTGCATTACGATGAGAAATAATTCTACTTATTTTATCGAATATATATTATTTTTTTGTCTCCTTTTCTCGTGGAAAATCTCTTCTTTCAATCCATTTCAAATTCATTTACTAAATACTCCAAATTTTTATAACTCCAAGGATTGTTACCATACCTTGAACTCTCAAAAAGCAATCCAAAGATCCAAATTTTTTTTTAAATGTTTTATTAGAAATTTATTTTGCTATACTTCTGGTCTATGAATAGAAAGAAGCTTCTTTTACTGTTCCTGTAGCAGAAGGATTCCAGTTAATGCACGTATTAATTGGAGTAAAACATGCACTAATTTGTCTATTACGGAATATAAACAATTATTTTTCAAAAAACCATCAATTTTGGATTTGAAGTTGCAGCCTGGTAGTGACGCTTCGCTTACATTTTGATACTCTTTTTTTCGCTTTTATCAGAAATTTGATTTTTTGTCTTAAATAATATTTTGATCCAATTCTAGTCTTTATGTCCTCTTATGAACACATTTAAATGCTAGAGTATTCGTCGACGCATTGCTTGCAGATGACCGCGAATAAAATATTTAGTGCTAAGTACGTCTAGTGCAAAGGAAGAAATGTTAAGCAGTTCCTGATGAAAACATTTCACTGTGGTCTATATCCACCAATTAATACTTCAACTTTTATCTGATCAAAACAATATCAATACGGCTCCCTTTCTCTTTTTCCTATCTTGATTTTCCAATTAGTTAGCAATATGTTTCCCGGCTTGGTATACCTGCTTTTCAAAGCATTGGTCTGTAATGAATAAACGCCATTGACAATGCTTGGCAATTAAAATTCAATTCACGTTAACTACGCAAACAATAGGCATAAGAGTTTTATATTTTGCGTTTATATCGCAAGACTAATCTAACTGGTCTACTAACTTTAACCTAGGAAGACACAAGAAAAATACCATAATTTTGAATACACTTTGCATCAATTCTCGGAGAGATTCGAAGTTGATGAGCAATTCCAAACCAGAATTGAGTCAGGGATCTTAAGTTTGGGCAATTCACCAAAAATAATCTACATCACCCCACAGTTGTTTATGAAACCACTTTTCAAAACCATGCGTTATATGGGGAGTGGAACCGTTTTTTATAACCTAACAAAGTGATTCTGAATTGATCGGTATAACAACGTGGGAGCTATCTCAAACCCTTCTTCACAAGTTTAATATATCCTTGTATCACAAGTGGTGTGCGATATAAGTATTCTCATATATATTCGAAAGGAAACACCCTTCATAAAAGTGGTTAAATATCATCCGGTGTTAAAAGTGAGCTTAAAAAGCATAAACTTGGAATATCCTAATAAGAAGACTTTTCAAACGCAATATTTCCACCACTGTAACAGATTTACGGTACTAATTTGACCATTTTAGCAGCATTCGAAGCGTTGCCATTTATTGAAAGCATGGTACACGTTACATGTGCACAAAGAAGCTGTACGAAGTGAATGATGAATGAAAGCGATGCGAAACTTGTCAAAAACGTTAATAGATTGGTTAAATAATTTTCTATCTGTTATTTAATTCACACTTGCATATTAGAATGTAGGATTTTTAAGAAAGATAAGGTGTTTAAGGTTCGTCTTAGTAGCGGATATTTAATTGGTAATAATAAGCGTTTAGTCAACGAATATTATGGTGGCCACGGCAAGTTCCTCTTACATGCAATGCTTTCTCACTTATATTCATCCACATATACGCATATTATATTTCAACTTTGTAAAGAAGCAACTAATTGCACATAAACATTAAATCAATATTTCTTTTTCGTTTTGCTTGCTTGTAAATAAATTAAATAATTTAATATATGAAAAGTTAGAGTTTATCTTACCACCCATTAGTTATGATTTCGCTGATTCCTATGGAAAAAAGGAGTTTTTTCTTCAACTTATGAGTATATGTGCTTAATATGCTATAAATAAGTAATACGGCGTACACTTTTCGTTTTTTCTTTTCTTTTTTTTTTAATTAACATTGCGTTATAATAAAATAAGATAAATTATTTTTAAAATTATGGCTCGATTACATTCTTTAGCTTTTCACTAACAGCTGATTATGTGAGCAAATAAAAGTGAAAAAATTGATTTCGTTTTTTCTCTCATTCTCTTACTGAAACAATTTAATGTTAATAACAGCACTAGTGTCATATGAGAGTAATTTAAATGAGCAGCTCGATTTACTCAGCAGAAGAAAAATTTTCTTTCTTTCTTGTAACAGATTAAAAATAATAACGGTAACGTAAACAGGGTAAAGTGAATGTTATTAAATTATATTTAGGAATTTTTTCTAATCATTATTTGAAAAGTAGTATAAAATTACCTATTTTTAAACTTTTTATTTAAAAAACGCATATATAGGCATACAACATGAAAAAATTGCACTTATTATTCTACCCTAAAAACCACCTAACTTTTTGTTTTGTTTCGTAGATTATTTTTCATTTTCAAACATAAAATCCGGCCAAAAACCGTTACAAGCACTCATAAAACTGTATAACGAGCTATTAACAAACAATCTCATTGATTCTCATGCTATCTGAAGTTGTCTAAATATTAAGCCTATACATAAAAAAATTCATATATTTATTCTGTGTTTTTTTATATTGGAACTAATAACTAGAATTGTTTCCATTTTTGATTTCAATACTTTTTAGACAAACTCATATATATAGATGTTCAGATATCTAAGCTCTTACAATTGAAAATGATGAATGAATAGATGGCTTGTCTTTACAACCATAAAACAGTACCTAATGGAAACGGAAGAGAGTGTGTATATAATAGAAATCACATTGAAAAGCCACCTGGAGCTATCAAAAGAATAGATTGAGGTTTTTGTTTGCAGCTTATTTATTTATTTTCTTTTTTTTGAACTAAACTACATTTTTCCAGCGGCTGGTTAGCACGAACTACTTATTTGTGATTAACGTTCATGTGCAACATGCAGCATAATGTAAGACATGAGTCATAAATTGAATATAAGTTAAATTGGTTTCCTACTTTTCAGCATGTACTCCCCATGCAATATACGTACGTACATAGAGGTTTGGTTTTTCTAAGATAAGAGATAAATTCACCGACTTAGGGTTAGGTCGAATTTTTTGATACTCGTTGCTTGATTGATTTTAATTCTTCTTAATAAATGAATATTACAAAAATTTGTTTTACGAATCCAGCGGGAATACCGCAAGCTTTATAAACGTTTGGAGTATTTCCCAATTTCAGCAAAGTTGAACATTACGCGATTTACTTGATTTCTGGGTTCGGAGAGATAATTGCAAGAAAGAAAAGAAGATTTTTGAGATCAAGTTTATTTCTAGGCAACAATTTTCGAGGGTGTAACTACGTCCATGCGCTATCTACGTCCATGCAGGAATGATGTGTTGTACCTAAAATCTTCATCGCAGAAAAGAAAAATAAAAAAGGACTTGTGTTTGGAATTGTGTTAAATTCAGATTAGTTAACTACTTAAGAAAATTTTTATTTTCAAGTTTTCATTACTTTGCCTAATACGGCATTGGGCGGCCAATTTTGCCCAGCAATTTTAGATGTGTCTGGTAAATAATTGTATCAAGTTTAGATTAAAATACGCTTATGGATTTTAGACCTTTTATCCGTAGTAGGCGAATCACGTTTCTTTCTAAATTTTGGGGCATCGTTATTAACTAAAGACATGACGTCGGGTTTTCAATCAATCTGTGCATACGTTCGGACATTCCAGTAAAAAACAATGCAATGACACAGAGGGACGGACTAAAGAACATGGCTGTCTCAGAATTTTACAGTATTTAAGAATGTATGTATTATACTTTGACGCTTATTTTTTATACCCATCATCGAAGGATGATGTCAACGGCAAGAAAGAGGCTTCAGAGACCCCACAAAATACTTATATCCCTAAGCAGCCTCAATTTTTGGAGCAATTCAAGCATGTCCGTCTGGCCGGCTGCTCGTCTGTGTAGTGGTTTTTAACATTGCCCTGGCAGTAAAAAATATATGGCTACAGTACCACGAAAACTTTTGCTCATTACTCATAAATTGCAGCATGTAAATGTACAAAAATTGGAACGTGTTTTCTATGGGCGATACCATCGTACCTATGTAAAAATTGGAAAGGTTGACCACGCCTATCCAATATTATAGAGCACAAAAACAAAATATATATATAAATATTATATGTATATATATTAAAGTTTAATTCTTTTTCAATACCTTTATTATGCGTAGAAGCAAGCATCAGAAACTCCGCGATGTGAATAAATCTTTGACCAGCATGTCCGTCCCCTTCATCCGTTCGTTTGCCTAACCCGTGTGAAATATTCTCCCGTTCTCAAAAAGGAAGACATCGCCGTCAAGTTTGCAAAAGAAAGTGAAAATGGCCCAAAACCGTTAAAAGCACACGCCACCGCACGCCCCTGCAACAAAGACTATGAACACCTTTGCTTTGCGCGTTTCTTGCTTGTTATTCATAATGTACTGTATAACACGCACACCGTATAAATTTCCACACCATCCAATATTATAGAGCACAAAAACTGAATTATTCTTTCTTTTTAGTTTCACTTTTCAAGGACAGTGGTGATGGGCGTAAGCGATTCGGTCAATATACTTTTCTTATTTGTTGACATTACAAACAGATGAACGTATCTAGTATACGAACAGTTTTGAATGCCAACTGTAAATATAGCACAGTACTCTAAAATTAAAAAAAAGAGAAAGAATAAGGGACATCGTAAGGTAAATGGTATACTTTTCAAAGTAAATTTTACTTCCGCATGAATAGCTCACACGAAACGAAAATGCTGCGTTCATTCATGTTATGTAAAAATTTTCTGGGGAAATGGAAATAAAAGCCGTTCGAGAAGTACTGGTGCACAAAGCTTAAGTGCAAAGTATGTTAAGTAAAAAGTTAACTTATTTACCTGATTATTTACGGCACTGAAATGCGATACGTTTACAAGTTAAGCTTATAAGAAAATAGAGAAAAACTTTAATACAGGACGGCTTAAAAGTAAACTAATAGCCTTTTATATAGTGCAATTGTTATATATGAGATATTTGAAAGTAAAATGAAAGATAATCAAGCTACGCTTCTTTAATTTTTTTTGTACCCATCACTGAAAGATGGCGATATACTCAATTTGTTTTTTTTCATAACGTCCGTACGTGCCTGTGCGGTGTTTGTTGTTGGCACTCTAATAGTCCCAAAAATGCAATGGCTTACTTTTGGTAGAAACATTGTAATTTTTTTGCAAGCACGTTGGTGTTGAAAATGGGCCAAATTGGCTAGACCAGAAGACCGCAGTCGAACGTAAATTGAAAGCAACTCCGTTTTTCTTAAGAAAAATTTGTACGTTTTTATTCCTCACTCGGGAATTACAAAAGTGTGAACGTTCAAATTTGGGATATTTACTTTACGAAACACATTACTATTTATGTGCAAAAATGGAAAAAAATTGGTTATGGCCACACAAAGTTACCAGTGAATAAAATATTTTTTTTTCATTTTCTCGAGGTGTTATGCTTATTAATCATACGGTAAAGCCGATACAATGCTTAAAGCTGTTTTGTGCATTCCTCAAATGAAGTTGTATTATCTGCCTTAAATGAACATCGTGACCGGGTGGATTAATTTTTTTTTTTAAAATTACCGTCCGTATGAGTGTCATATAAAAGCGCCTAGAGAATAGAAAGCGAAAAGCACAGTGTGTTAATCTAAATTACTATTCTGCTAAGGTTTCTAAATTCTAAATTGTTATTATATTATTAAATGATGGCGGACGTCACGGTGGAAGATTGAATTTTCCTAGCAAAACCTTTCGATTAAATAATGGGTGAATCCCGTTCACATGCTTATGACAATAAGCAAAAGCACTAAGAAAAAGGCACTAAAGATTTTAATAGTGGTGGGTATGTGAGATTCGGCCACAGTCGAATATATCTTTCTTGCTTGGTTTTGTATATCTTCTGCTTATTATCAAATTTTCTTTATTACAATTTGGTTAGTGTTCTCGTTTACTAATTAAATTACCATTAACAGTGGAATTTAAATTAAGTTTGCATTCGGATTGGTGCAGCAACACATTTTCTATGTAAGCAAGATATTACTAGCAAATTGAATAGGCGTAACGGTATCGTTAGGCTCTATAGGTCTGCGCGTACGAGTGCAGATGTATCTGCTAAAAGCAATATTTCATAGAAATTTGTATTAAAAATGATGACGTAGTGACGATGCTTGAGAGTTAAATCCTAAATTGAACGTACCAGGTATACTCTGTCAAGTAGTTATCGGGAATTAGCAATTTAGCCTCAGGATTTATTTGACTCCTTCGACAATGCTTTCCTTTTGGCATAAGATTATATATTAATTACTTTAACGTTTAATGTAGGTATTAAAAGACTTATTTAGGACCCCGCTACATATCAGAGGATAAGATTTTAGCAGAGCATAAGGATAATAAAAAGATAAAGAACTGAAATCACCAAGCAAGGGATGTTTCGTACCGGTTTGAAAAGTGCGATGAAGAGATTAAATACTGGAATCAGTTAATGGAGCATTGAGCCAAGTCGTCATGTAAAGTGCTGCGCACAGAATGTCTAGCGTAAAGGCAACTAACCTCCAAAAGTGCTGCACTGAGATCAGTTAACAGAGCATACAACAAAGAACATCAAAAAAGTGCCCCTGGCGAACCAAATTTTTCATACCAGTTTGGAATATCGAACTATTATTACACAGCGTTTTTTTTGAAAAATTTTGAGAATTGCAATTAGTTCCGTATAATGTCTTTTCAAAATAAGACGTTTTATGGGGTGCGGTCCAAAAGTGCACCAAATAGCTTTCGCTCTTGGGTCAAATCGCGTCAGTGTGCTGAATTTTATCAAAATATATGAAAAATTGCGACTTGTAGGTTCAATACAAAAATACATGGGCGAACGGATAGACTAGCTTAGATCGGTTTAGAAAATATTCGCGAATCAATCTGTACAATAAAAGGTGAAATGGAGATATTTACTGCGTTGGTCGGAACTTGATATAAGTTCAAATCTGGACAAAGCTGAGGTAAAACGAGCGCATTTTAATAGTTAGGCTTTATGCCCAGGGACGTCAAAAATTGGTTCTTTCTTCAATTGGCGATGCTTTTTTAAGAGTATATGTTGACTATAAAGATTTTCGTTAGTGTTCCGATGAAATATGTTGATTGGACAATTCCCGTTACTTGCTTAGCAGAACGAGTTGATTAAATAATTCCGTAACTTTTTAAGCAAATAATTATTTCGTTATTTTCCTTCTTTTTTTTTTTTAATAATGTGAAAAGCGTTTTGCAAGTAATTATTTCGATTATGCTTTCGATGGAAACGACTGTAATTTAGACAACTTTCGTTATCTTTTTAAGAGTTTAATTAATTATAAGAATAATAAGAAAAACGCAAACATTTGTTGCCATTGATTACAATACGAAGGCTGCTCTTTGACTTTTGTGAGCTTAAGCTCTAAGTCGCTTTATAGGCAAATTAAGAAGCAAAAAAAGTATATACATTTTTTAAATATCTGCAGAGAAATGAAAAAAGTTTATTAAAATAGATTCTTTTTGATTAGTTTTTCCTTTACTTTCTTTCTACTTTTCTCTGCGGCTTGGCTTCATTTACTAACTATTGCAACAAATGTTGATTAAAATTGCTTTCGCAATTTGTCTCCCTATGTAATAGTTGCTGTATTTGCTGGTGCTTTTTTTTCCCCTTTTTTATTATCTTTTCAAATTCCATGTCAGTGACTCAAGGTCGTCGGCAATATGTGCGACAGCAAATGGAAAGATGCAGCAGAGAATGACAGTCGTGGGCAAGCGAGGGAGGGAGAGGGGGGGGGGGGGGGGGTGGGTTGCAAGTGTATGGAAATTTTTGCTCTAAGCTCTAAACATCAAACATTAAGCTGCAGAGGCTTTTCAAAAAGCAACGTGAAAAACAAATGACAACACGCAAGCGAACAACAACCCTTAATTGAAATATTACATGCACACATACACACATATAAAGAAAAAAAAACACAAAAACTAAATCAGATTGCTCTACACACACACACGTTTCTATACGCAGAAACACATATGCAAACATACATCCATCTACGCTTTGACAAAGATGCGAATATATAGAAAACAATGAGAAGTTATAATTCATAGAGTAATACGCGTTCGGAAATCATTGCTTCCTAAGCTCTGAGTGATTTTTAAGTTTTTCTTCTTCTTAGTTTTTACACAGCACAAACTTAAAACGCCATATGCAACATACCGTATAAAAAAATTGCTAAAGGCTGAAGCATCTTATAAAGTATTGTGATATTATAAACTAAGCGCATATTTCCAAGTCCTCAATTAGAACGAGATTAAATGCGCATCAAGATAATCGGGCGCGGTATCAAGTCCAATACTATGAATATACTGTGAAATGCTTAAAAAGAGTCCTGTGTATGATTGTATAAAAACGGCAACAAACACACCAACACACAACTCATTATGAGTATTATTTTAACGCTTTTTTTTTCTTTTTTTGTATTATTATTATTTTTTTTCTGTTATTGTTGCATAAAAATTCGGATAAGTATACGACGACCATTTAAATGCATTAAGCGTTAAAAGCCAAAAATTGCTGATGATGCGCGAATAAGTTTTTGGGGGCTTTCTTTAAAACTAACACTAACACACATAAACCTACACACGCGCACAGTTGCGCTCAACGCCACGAAATGGCCGGATTTCCACCCCGTAACCATTTCATACTATCATAATCCGTGCTAATATGTTTCTTGAGCGAATGCGCGCATGTACATATGTGCACATCTGTGGGTGTAGTTTAAGAAGCAGATAGCTTAAAGAAATTTTAATTAATTTCACAAAAGACGAAGAAGAACTCGACTAGCCACACAGAAAAAGGCAACAAGTCGGCTGTTTTGTCTTTGTTAAACTTTCATTAAAAAAATGAGACGAAATTTTATTTTGTATGAAAAGAGAGTTAGTTAAGAAAAAGGAATATTACGTCACTGACATAATAATGATTATTTTTAAACGATTTTTTAACAAGCGACAAACGAAGTCGAATGCAGTGCTCGTAAACAGGGTTTGCAGCATCAATTGCGTTGGCCAGACAAAAACTTCTTGCCAATTTTTCTTAATTATATGTGGAAGGAAGGAAATTTCAAATTTCTCTCTGACCAAAACAGCCATTATTAACTTCCTACCAAAAAAACCGAATTAAAAAAAAAATTTCGTACAATTTTTGCAAATTTATCAAGTTTTTTTTTCTAAGGAACACCCCCCCTTAACAAAACTTTATTATTTCTTCTAAAAGTTTTTAACAAAGCGAAAGACAAAATTCTAAACTAAAAACTAAAAACACATACTACAGATTTTGTAAAAATATTTTTGTCAGCACATTTCAAGAAGATGCGATACTCGTACGTACAGACTAAATATCGATTTCGTTTGATAATATTTTATAAATAACTAGGAGAAAATGTAAAAAGCAAAAACACACATTAAAAAGAAGCAAAGGAACAAAAATAGTTCAGGCATTGCTTAGAAAGGATCTTACATAAACTGTAATGAAGTGCACATACACAGGTAGATATAATGAAAGATGTTTTTTCTTGGTTCTTCTTCTTCTAAATAAATTTAATTGTTTTCTTATGAATTATTTGCTTCAAGATGGTTCAAATGCTTTAAATGCAAGCTATTCTTCTACGATTATTTTAACGTTTTGAAGATAATTAATTTAAAAAAAAGATTCCCTTATTGGCATAAAGATGAAGCAGAGTGGAGTTTTCAGTAACACTTCGAACCGATATTGAAAAATGTATAACGGCTTATCGATAATATAGTCTGGATGACAGCAATATCTTCCCTTTGACAGCCTATGAATCTTACGAATGACTAATGATAACATATTGCTTTTTGAATTGCGATCCCTTCCAACGCGATCCATTTCCAATTTAATATTTTTGCTTTCCGGTTCCGTGAGACGTATGAAACCATTTTCAGCTTTCACTTGCTTGTCGCTCTAGACTAGTTTTAGGAATGAAGCCAACTAAGCCCTTTATTTTAGATAATTATTACAAAGGACAGAATGAGGATAACATCTGGCGTTTCCCTGCCAGCAAGTATAGGACAGGTAAGCCCGTGCCAAGTGGTGTTTTTCTTTCACAGGGGGACATTGTACTATTATTATATTTTATAAGTGCATCTCTATAATTATACTATTGTATATTAGAAACGCATACAGAGTTTCATGCTACAGGGACATTAAATGGGATTTTTTTCAATTTTTCATGTTTTCCATCGATTTTTTGTCAATTTTTCATTTTTTTCATTTTTTTCATTCCAATCACATTTAAGCTCCATTCATTTGATATATTACACAAATTTTTAATCGATTTTTTATCAGTTTTTCATTTTTTTAATATATCAATCCATCAGCAAGGCAATTTAAAATTTACTTGTTTAAATGTTTAAATTACTCCTTGACCTATCTTTAAAATAATTGGCTTTTACAAAACAAAGCTTTTTTAGGTTAACAGGGCTTTTGCTCTGCCGTGACGTTAAAAACTAATCGGGAGCATAAATCTCAATCATGACTATAATAATAAAAAATTCTTCCACTGTATTTTTCTTGCGCCTTGTAACGCACGAAAACGTGAATTAAGTATATACATTCTTGGGCAAACCAAAATTTGGAATATGTCTGTCTGTCTAGTTGAAGGTTTTCCTATTGGAATGCTCACGGCTATAAAAATTGAGATAAAAAGCCGAAAGTTAGTATAAAGACTCTTAAAAGTGAAATAATTGCAAATAAAAGTGCAGATGAGGTTAACGCTTGAGTTAAAATATATTTTAGGGAAGCTTCGGTAGATAATCAATTTATCATCGCTTATGAGGGGAATCAAATAGTTGTTGGCCACAAGTGAAATTCCAAAAACGTGAATGACAGTCCACCCACAATCGCGTCCAAAATAGACAAAAAAATTATATATCATAATTAATGGTAAAATCTGAGACCAGACTCTAGAGGATTATAGTATATAATAGACATTGATTTAAAATTAGATTCAAAAATTTTTTCAAGCTAACTAAGACGACAATGGTACAGCGTTTATTAAATTAATGCGGGCGTATGCAACATCCAGAAAATCTTAATACAAATCCACTTTTTCTTCGTCACCTCATTCACGTCTTTCCGTGTATATTTGTATTCAACTTACGGGTCGCAATGTTTGAAATATTTTTAATGAAATTGGGTACTCTAATTTGCCTTGAGCCAACGACGAATGCTATTGAAAATGGCTTGAATTGGTCCACTTTTTCGATCACTCCGCGTGTAACGTCCTGTTTTCAAAAGTCGTTACATCCCGTTATATAATCTTTCCTGGGAAAACTGGATTCTTATATAATAAAAAGGTAACATTTTTAATATGTCATAGTGAAAATTGGTTCATAATGATAAATTGGCATAGAAATAAACCTTAACAAATTTGGACCAAGTAGATTTATTTTTTGAGTACCAACGCATATAGGGATTTCTCCGAAATGCGGGTTTGCATGAAAATAATGTGCAACTTTTGGGGTATTACTACAAAAACGAGTGAACAACCTGTATTAGGTGAAGTTATGTAGGGTACCCAAAATCCGGGCTTGCTCATCTATAATGTTCTTCCTTATTTTGTATTATCTATATTAACAAAATGACGAAAATTTTGACGGATTTTATTTTCAGAATTGTTGAAAAACCTCACAAAAGATTGCATTCTTTGCTGTTTTTAGCCGAGTTTTCGACAAAGATCTACTTATGCCACCTTCGGAGAAAACGACTCATAGGCTTTAACGTTATATTTTTTTTGAATTTTTATTACGTAAAGGTTAACTGTTAATTAAAAAGATTTTTTCATATATTATTGTTAGAGATGAATAGAATATGTTTTGATATTAAGAGGAATATAGAACCAAATAACAACTCAATACATATTCTTCAATAACTAAAATAATTATTAAATAAATATACCTAAAACGACACATACTGTTTGCGGAATACGTTCATCATGTCTTCCATTACGCAAATTTCTGTTCGTTTAAGGAAATGCAATGAAGGTCTGATAATTGGTTTTTATTATTTAAGAGGTTTAGGTTAAAATGAATTAAAAATTTCTGATTTTCACCAGACAGGGACAATTGATAAGTCAGTCGGGTATATTAGCTGTTATTGTATTAAGAATTGTAATTAGTTAAGGTATTTAGTATTGTATTAGTTAAGTAGGTTAACACTCAGGAAAAGATTCTTTGCACTTGTAACTAACATGAACTCAATTGAAGTTTAAATAGTAAATATATGATTTTAAAAAGATAAAACAAACTAATGTGTGTGCATAAAAATGCTTACCAGTTAAATCAGTTATATCAATACCATTAGAACGACTTCTTGTGCGTTGCAATAAGTGTTGATAATTTTCCATTAATGATAGCTGTGAAGCCTGCTTTTGCAGCAGAGGATGACCTCCGCTGCAATGACCATTATCTGGACTGGCAATATTAGCTTGCACGGTCACAGTGTTATTGGCCTCAGGATTGGCATTGGTGTTAGCATTGCTGGAGCCTAAATTACACCAATCCGTTTCGATAGCCTTGGAAGCGCTACGTTTAAAATGTTCCAAGAAGTTATCAATTTGTTTCTCTATCGAAGTTGAAGGTGAACTTTCCATTTTTTTGTCGAATTAATAATGAAAACATTAACTTTTGTAAATAATTGTATAGAAAAAGTGTTGAGACCAAAAGAAAAACAAAAAGGAAAAAGGAAAACGATGTATATACACACACTTTGTTAAATGCACACGTACACACGCACACAAAGGCACGCACAGACCCACATATAATTGTACATTTATGCGCACATGCAGACGTATATATTTTTGTGAAGGTCAATTAATTTCTATGTTCAGCACTGAATTGAACTTTTAGCCTCTTTCTTCATAACTTTGTAGCATATTTTTAGGCGTGCACAAAGCACATGCATAAGATTAGAGACAACATATTCAAAAATCTATGAATATTAAGGAATGTTTTTTTCAACTTTTTTCTCAATATGAACGTTTCACTGAGGAGATTTTTTTTCTTTTGCTTTTTGTTAGCTCTAAAGTCAGACTACTCTGCCTTAAAACATTCATGGGAACATATACTTGAACATGTTTGCGAGATACTATGTATAAAACTACTTCCGCATACATATACTTGATGTTATTCTTTTCTTTTATTTTTATTTCTTACTAATATTTCTTTTTTGCTTTCACTGCATGACCGTATTTGTTATATGGTCGTTATGTACTGTCAGTTATTCCATGTTTGCTATCATAATACACTCCATAGCATTTGTGGATACAACACGTCTTGTGGATGGTATTTGTGGATATAACACGTATTGTGGATGGCATTTTGATTAGAATTTATGCAGAAATCGTTGAATTTTTTTTGGAAACAATATAAAAGAAAAAAACCGCTAACAGATTTCAGAGAGAAATCAAAGCAAGTGTTTTGACAAGTGAAAAATTAGCAAAAACCAATGCATAAAGCTTCTTACAAGTGTGTTTGTTGTGTGCAAATTTAAAAATTTCCCAAAAAACAAGAATTAGTTATAAAAAAAAAGTAAAATAATATAAATTAAAAGAACATTGTATTTTTTACGCAGTGTAAGGACCTGTGTAACAGTAAGTATTTTATTCATGTATAAAACAGACATATTAGCGACATTGAAAATATGAAAATCAAATGAAAAGATATATAATATAATTGAATAGACGTTTTTATTTTCTTTCATATTAGTTTTTTGTATTATATTTATTCATCACTTGTATCCAGCAAATTGTCATAAATCTGATGAAGCCCGCGTGCTCTTCTGACGGCAACTCCACATAATTCTAAATACAACAAACGATACACATAATAATAAAGTAAACCATTTTTTTGTTTTTTTTTTTGGAAATTTCATTTTTTAGAATGCAATGTGATAGAAGTTCATCGTTTTTAAATGTTAGCGTTGGCGCAAATAGTACAAAGAGTAGAGCAAGCATTTGTGCAGCATGTTAGCTAGACCTTGGAATTGCTTTGATTTGGAAAATTGAGAACGAACATCGCTAACATGTATACAAGTTTACAAGTATTCTGTGGTAGTTAATTGCGTACAGAGAGATGAGCAAAAAAAGGAAAAACCGGGTATTTCTTTTCCTTGTTGATATAAGATATTTATTCAAAATAAAAAACAAAAAAAAACTTTCTTTTACATTCACTCATCTCAAGGTTAGCGTTTAGCAAAATCGTCGCAAAAGAAAATAGTAAACAAGAATTTCTTAAATTCATATTACCTTTTACGGTATAGTTTTCATGAAATGAGAGGAGATATGGAAAAACGAATGTATATTTTTTTTTTACATATATTATTCGTAATAAATGCCTTAGTATGTTCAGATTTACTATCTAAACTAATTAGTACATAAGTTCGTGAGTTAACTTGAATGTTTTCCAATTAGATTCTTTCTTATTCTTATTTTTTTTGTTCTTTATATATCCTCTTTTCTTCGCTTTTTGGGTTGATAGCGAAAATGCCGGTCTCTGCTTCTTACTTTCACAAAACCAGCTGTTGTGATAACAGTAGAAAAACGAAAATGTAAAAGATCTTTAATTTGTAAGAGATTTTTAAGATACCGTTACAATATATAATTTCATCTGAAAGTTTTAAAGCTATTATAAGATAACAAAGAGCGACATCTAGCTCAGCTGTAATTGAAATATAAACAAAAAGAAAGAAAAGGGAAATAATATCGTAAAATTTAAAATAAACATTAAATAAAAGCAAAAGTTAGTTGACCTCGATTCGTTTTGATTCGTTTTTGTGCCCATCACCGAGGTTTGGAGAGTATATCCATTTTGTCAAGAGTGTACAAAGTGTATATATCCTCTATCAGCATTAATGTCGGCCTGTCTGTCCGGTTGTCCGTCATTCTGCCTGTGTAATGTATGTCCTAAACATTGTCTCACTTATAATTCGGTAAAAACTTTGGAAGTTCTCGCACGCAGATTGGTTAAAAATGGGCCAAATCGGTCGAAGGATACGCCTACAATACTATATAAACTGAGCCCACCATTGTTTTTCAATAAGAAGAAGAAAAGGTTTCTCTGCCACTTGCTCATAAACTGAGGCAGTGGAATCTATAAAAAATTTAAGGTACGTTCTATGAACTTATGTTGCACTACCTGTACAAAATTGGGAGAACTTGACAACGCTAACCCAATATTGTAATGTAGCAAAGTTTAGTTACTTTAATATCTTTACAACGCGAAGCAGCAAGCTTCAAAAACCCCATAAAGTATATAAATTCCTGGTCAGTTTCAAGTTCAGAATGCAATAGACCTTGTCCGTCTGCTCATCTGTCCACCTGTCCGTTGGCAAACCGTGTAGTATTTGTAGTAAACAGCCCATCGTTCGCCAAAAAGAAGGTATCACCTGTAAATTCGCAAAAGAATTTGCAAATGATCCAAACGGATCAAGGGACACGTCTGCAACGCCCACATGCTTATGGAAAAAAACCTGCGAACGCCGTTGTTTTCTGTGGTTTTTGATTGTTGTCCACAGCGTAAAACATATACGTCGTATAAACTTGCACTTTCTTCCTGAAAACACAAAAATCAGCCGCGTGCACCTAGTATCCAGTAGTATAGAGCATGAAAATCTAGTTCTTTTCTATTTTTTTAGCCTGTGATGGGTAAAAACGATTCAGTCATGACAGAGCATAATTTTCTCAAAATCGAATTGCGTAAAAGAAACTTTTATTAAGAAATATTGAAAATTAGATTTTTTTTTACCATGTAAAGATTCAGTTTCCGAAAGAACGTTTCTATGACAGCCGATTCAAGAATTTGTCCCATCCGATTATAATTTTTTACACCAATTTGGAAAGCCTAAATACGCAGCGATTTTTGTTGCGATTAGCTGAAAATTAGTACATTTGTTCCAGTAAAGGTTTATCAAAGTAAGGTGTTATATTAGGAATGGTCGATCCGTACCATTTGTAATAGCATTCGTCGCTAAAACAACGTGTATCAAATTTCATCCAAACGCCTGAGGGGGCTTTAGAGTGACCACAAAAATGCATTAACAGATTTCAGACAGATATATGGAGAGCTTAGATTGATTCAAGAACTGATGCAGAAAGTAGTTCTGAATTTATCTAGGTGTTACATACGTCCGGACAAACTTAATATGTCCTGTATCACGAATACTTCTCTGCAGTCGATATCCGTACCGTTTATACCAAGTATGTTCAAAATTAGAGTGCAGTTCGAATGTGTGGGCTTGCTTGGAAATAACAAAGTAACAAAATTCGAAGTTCGCTCATACACTTCTCCGCGAAAGCAACAAAATTCGAAGTTCGCTGATTTACTTCTCCGCTAAAACAAGAAAATTCGAAGTTCGTACAATTACTTCTCCGCTAAAGTAACAAAATTCGGAGTGCTCTTAGTGTTTCTTTTCAGACACATTGGGATGTACAATGCGTTTAAAAGGCGAAGTGATATGAGCAAATTTTCTTTAGAAATACAAGTAGAAGGTATTACGACATGCACATGTGTATTCTTCGTCTTGGATAGGAATCAGCCATACCCATTCGTTTGCTTATCGTAAAAGGACCAATATCTGATGTAGGAATCAAGCCTTATCAAACTTATTTTTTCTGTAAGCATTTCTTAAAGTGTGACGTCTCCATGTCAAGGTGCATTGTTCTTAAACTTTAAACGCAGCATTACTAGTTATGGCATCTCTTTTTGTTTTTGCTCTTTTTTGTTTAAGAGGATTTTTTCGCCGCCTATTGAAATAATGTATTCTATACCTTGAACCTACATGACACTTAAGTATAACAGAAAAATCTCGTCCCTGTTATAATTACAAATTTTGATCATTAAAAAAATAGAAGCCGAAAAAAAGTGCTGGTCGTCTTAATTGTGTTATTACCAATTTAAAAATCACACTGCTCCTCACACTCATAAAATAGGATTACGTAAGAATTACTTTAATTGAAAACTTGCATAAGGTAAAGATTTCTTCGCTTTTTTTTGAATTCTGCTGGACGGCATATACGTATAAAAATGAGTATGAGTGTAGTTTCGCAGTGAAAAAGTGGTATGGAAGAAGTGATACGGTGCGAACACAAAAACACGATGAAAGCAATTGTCACTAGTGCCAATATACAATGTCTGGTCCCTGTGAGTTGTATTTCGATTTTTAAGAGTATTAAGCGGATCTTCTCGTAGATGGGCGCAAAAGACAAGTGCAGATGCTGCAGAAACAATGCAATTCTATAAAGCATCAAATCAAATCCAATCACAACTTCGTAATGTTAACAATCCAGTCGTATTTTTTGATATATCCGTTGGTACTACGGTAAGCCTTTCTAATTACAAGCACTAGTTGCTTAATGGAAAAATACATTGTTTTTAGGAAATTGGTCGTATGATATTTGAATTATTTGCTGATACAGTGCCAAAAACCGCAGAAAACTTTCGACAATTTTGTACTGGAGAATGTCAACCTGATGGTGCAGTGCCGCTCGGAATAAGAAGGAATTCGTGTTTATATCTTTTATTTCACATTTTCTATAAAATAATACATAATAGCAGTATTTCAAATCATATTAAAAAAAAAAGATATAAAATAACACAATATACATATAACTTATATTAATAATTTCTAACTTTTAACGAATAGTCTATATTTTCTGCATTTTTCATTTTATTTGATGATTGTACAAAACTATTCAGGAGACGTACAAGGGGAGATGAATTTATA